TCTCATTATTTTTAATTACTCATTAATTACTTCTCAAGAAACTACTTTTAGCGTAACCCAGGAACAACGACGTGGACGTAGCAGTTTTCTGTTCCCTTTGGGGTGCTTGATTAACGTGAATCCTCTTGCCTCTCACAATTCGGGGTGCTCACAATGAAAACGTGGTATTTTTATTATTTATGTATTGCAAAATCGTAAGCATGGGTTCTCAGTAAGAGAAATCGAAGAAATTGAATTTCGTCGATTACAGCGCCATCTATCATGAATCGAGAAAAATGTTTCAAACAAATCGTATGTGCTTTTAGCCAAAGATTCCGAATATGCAATAAAAAATAGGGGTTCCCATTTAAGATTTCAAACTTGCCCCCCCTCACCGCCCAGGGGGCGGAGTGGGAGGACTGATTTTAACGTCAGTGTATGTCACCCTCGGAATGATGAAATATTAATTCTTAACATTTTTTCTTAGTGTGCTTATTTTTCGAGATATTTGAAAGTTTCAGGTTAAAAAAATTACCCTGTATTATGCTGAATACTATACCATGAAGATGGCTGAAAAAAGCAGCCGAAATGTCAGAAATGTATGTACAGGTGAAGAATAAAAAAGAAACGTACATTAATAATAACTGTGTACTAGCTCTTAGCTGCCTATTATTTTTGAAATACTGTTTTTAATATTGAGAACTCGATTAATTTATATTGATAAATTATAGAAACAAACAACTTCGAAGAATTTAAATCGCAGTAAAAGGAAGGAAACTCACTACGACAACAATCAACTATATCGCAAACAATTATGCACAAATTATTTAATCAAAAACTAGTTCTTGACCGGTCGACCAGTCAGTGTTAACTTTATCTTAAAATACTTTAAGACAATAATACTTAGGATACTTTTTTTTAAAATATAGTTATGATTTTAAAACTTTAAAGTTAGATCGTTTATGACCAAAAAGGAAATCGAATAACAACCAATAGTCCAAAGAGATAGAAAGACTCTGTTATAATGAAAGTTATAACTTAAAAGAAACGACACTAACTGACTGAAACCAAAACAAGTCGACATTTATAGCTTGTTAATAACCGGAAAGTAGACCTTAGGAAGCCCCTCCATATCTATCTGCAAATTAAGACTATGCGTCAGTCTCCTGATGAACAACATTTTCGAAACCAATCTCTTTCTGAGGTCCTTCATTCAAAATTACAACCTTCTCTTAGTCAAACTCATGATCCTCTTGTAACCGGTGATCAGTTATGACCAAACGAGTAGATGTATTCCGCCGAATGTGGTTTCTATGCTTAGCAAGATAAAATTGACACTGACTGGTCGACCAGTCAAGAACTAGTTTTTGACTAAACAATTTGTGCTTAATTGTTTGCGATATAGTTGATTACTGTCGTGGTGAGTTTCCTTCCTTTTATTGCGATTTAAATTCTTCAAAGTTGTTCTTTCCCATAATTCATCTCTGACAATTTTTTGTCATAATTTTTAAATATTCATCTGTGTTTCAATCCAATATTGAGGTTCTTTTAAGGACGTTCTCCGAAAAATCCATTTTCTTTAGATTTTTCTGAAACTTACAGAATAAGCTTGTTTTAGTGTTCTGAACATATATACTTTAAAGCTCAGTACTCGTTGCGGGATTAAAAATCGAGATATTCCACTTCAAAGTTGAAACGTTTAACATAGAATCCCTATCTAAAGCTTATTCGAAAGTGGTTTTTTATTCACTGTAAACAAAATTTTCTTTAGAATTTTTTGAAACAAAGAGACATAAAATTTGATATTACAAGGAATAATATGAAATTTTCCTGAATATGCCTTCCGGTATTTATATTTAAGAAATCATTTAACAAAGTAAGTA